AGTGATTTTCCACAAACGGGACTCAAGTTTGTTTTAAAAACTCATGCAGCCTGCTTCCAGGGCTTCAGTTTTACCGCAAGCAGATTCTGTTCTGACTTGGGCTTTCTCTAGTGGTGCCTGGGGCAGAAGCGTGAGGCATGCAGGCTGCTTGGTGAGGTGGTTATAGTTCACGCTACCCACGCTACCCACCCTCCCTGGACCACCTCGTATACACTGCTGGCCTCGGGAGGAGGGCCACCCACACAGGCAGGAGAGGGATGCAGACACAAGGCGAGAACTGGGATAGAGAGTCAAAGGGCCCACGTTCAGCCCTGACGCATCTTCAGAAAAGACACTTTACCTCCGCCAGCCTCAGTTTCCCTCTACAGAGGAGCATAACTGTACAGTCCTCACAGCATTGTAATGAGGGCAAAATAAAGAAAATTTTCTCTTATTTAACAAATACTTATGTTCCACCTACTATGTGCCATGCACTGTTTTAATCTCCTTACAAATAAAAATGAGGTACCGAGAGTTTCAGTGGCATATCCAGGATCACGTGCATCTGGAAAGAGGCAGGGCCAGGATCCCAGCTTGAGAGTATGGGTCCAGATGCCACATGCATTAACCCCTTCTCTGTAAGGATGAGGGATGTGTCCCATGGTGGTGTCTCCTGGTTTCTTTTTTTAGTAACTTCTGTGGGACTGGAAACTTCCACTACTATCCCCTCTTCTTTTTTGGTTAGTTGATTTGTTTTTGTGTGTGATGGGGTAGCTTATAACTCCCACAGTTTTTTCTACCAGGATTCCTCCCAATCCCAACCCCCCCAAGCCAGGGGCACTCAGAGACTGAAGCTGGGTGCTGAGCACTGCAGTCACTAAGAGTGAGGTTTGGTTTGCAGCCTGGCCCTGTGTATGCATGGAATGACCAAAGGACCCCGTACTGGCCAGCTATTTAATACTGAGTGACTCCATCATTCTGTAGAGGCTTGGGAGGACCGAGGAATACATTACTTATTTTTATTTTTGACTATGGCAAAATACACACAACATAAAATTTACCATTTTAGCCATTTTTAAGTGTACAGTTCAATATTAACTACATTTATATTGCCACGCAACGATCCATCTTCAGAACTTTTCCACCTTACCCAACTGAAACTCTGAACCCTCATTCAACCCTTCCCCAGCCCCTGGTTACCACCATTCTGCTTTCTGTCCCTATAAATTTGACTACTCTAGGAACTCATCTAAGTAGAAACATACTTTGCCTTTTTGTGACTGGCTTATTTCAGTTAGCATCATGTCCTCCAGGTTCACCCATATTGTAGCAAGTGTCAGAATGTCCTTCCTTTTTAGGGCTGAATAGTGTTCCATTGTGTGTATATACCACATTTTGTTTATCTGTTCATCCACGGATGCTTCACGGATTGCTTCAATTTCTTGGCTATTGTGAATAATATTAATATGAACAGCAGTGTGCAAATACCTCTTTAAGACTGAGATGTTAGTTACTTTGTGTGTATACCCAGAAGTGGAATTGCTGGGTTATATAGAAATTCTCTTTTAAATTTTTTGGGGGCCTGCCATACTCTTTCCCATGGCTGCTATGCCCGTTCTGTTCCCACCAGCATTGCCAAGGGCTCCGACTCGCCTAATTCTCACCAACTTGTTATCTTTGGAGTTCTTCCTTTTTTTATTTAATAGCATCCATCCTGAGGGGTGTGGGATGGTAGAACCTCATTGTGACATGTTATTAACTTTTCTTGTGTGTCTTAAAATACATGTTATAATTTCTGCAATACTCAGGTGTTGCCTCCGTCTTGTATCTGTTGCCGAATATATCTCAGTTGTAGGTATTTGCACAACCACGTAACATTGGAAGGATAGTTTGGTCCTTAAGTATGCGGCTTTGTTGATTTTTTTTAATGGTTTCATTGGTGATGATGGGATTTTGTTGACTCTCACACTCCTGAGGAACACAGGATGGCATCCACCCTAATCAGCCTCTCCCCTCGCAGGAGTTCGATGTGTTGTGGAATCCAGGTGAGTCTCCCTCAGGTGCCTCACGTGCCTGATTCAAAGGCCCTGCAATGAACTTCCCCACAAGCCCTGTTCAGCCAGGGGCTCCCTAGGTACATGACAGGAGGAATGGCAGACATTTCCTCAAACTGACCTCTCAGTTGTTCATTTGTCAAAATTACAGTTTCACATTACTGCTCTTCCCATTTTGATTCACAGAAATGACAGACCAGGCCAGTTAACAGAGGCTGTGCCTCTTTAAATGAGCCCTATGAATACGCGTTAGTCATGTTTGAGGCAGAGCTCTCCACTGATGATGGAAAGAAATCCATGATCCAGGAAGTAGAAAAAAAGCAGCTTGCCGAATAACATGAACAGTCTGATATAGTCTGTAAAAAGTACGTATACTTATGCTTAGCGATACATAGACATATTTCAAAAGGATACTACAGAATTAGCACTGGGTACCTTTTTGGGGACTGGGAGTTGGGGTGGGGCTTCAAATCTTTTGCTTTTTACCTCATACTCTTTGACAAGACTTGACTCTCTAGCCATAGCATGTATCACATTTACAATAAAAATAAAGCTTTAAAATCATCATTTTAGGAAAATAAAAGGGTTGTAAAGGGGATATGCTAGTAATTGATGTCATGCCTCCAGCTGTGGAGAAATAACCCTGGCTTAGGCCAGCTTCCCTGGAAGCAGAGTCTGAGATGAAGCTCTGGGATGAGGGACATGGTCTTGGGAGAAATGAACTAGGGTAAGGGAAGACACAGGGAAAAGGGAAGCATTGGGAGAGAATGTGGCTTCCCATGAAGCCCCACTTTCACCTGACCACGAGAACAGCTCTGGAGCATAAATGACACAAGTCTGACCTGCCCTGAAACAAGGGAGTTGGGTTTTTCCTCCCTCTTCCCCGACTCAGCCCTTAGCTCTGGGTGTCAGCGGGGTGAACTGGGAGGGGGCGGAACTCTCAGGCTCCTCTCGGCAGCTGGCTCCAGTCAACCAAGGCGGCCCCAGGAAAGGGTGCTGGTGTGCACCATGATCGCCCTCACCTGCTGCTGGGGCCCGGAGGGGACACTGGGCTGACAGATGGGACCCCAAGGGAATCTGGGCTTCAACCCCTTTCCACAGTGACTTGGGAATCAAACCCAAATGCTTCCTTATAAACAAATGTATAAACTGTAAACTGATGTAGGAAATGTTTTTCTTTTCTGTTTTCTTTTTGATGGCCATGGAAAAGTAAGTACAGGCTACAGGACATTGTATTAATAGCAGCTGAAATACTCAAATGAAGATATAAAGAGTAAACACATCAGTCTGGAAGAGTCCGCTCAGACGGCAAGAGCTCTGCAATGGTGGGAAAATCATTGGAAGCTGAAGAGGAGGACGTGCCAGCCTGCTCTCAGGAAGCAGGCAGCGAGTGTTCTGACCTGGCTACTGATGGCGGTCGAGAAGACTTTTCAATTTTTTTTTTAACTTCATGGACAATGTACATCTCACCACCAATTATATCACCCTTCCTGCATTGAGAATTTGAGAAAATTCAAAGACAGATTTGAATCCAGGACTAAATAACCCAGGGAATATGGCCAAAGAAAGGTGGGGGTGGCTGTAGGAGGCTGGATTGTAAGGCCTACAGTTGTGTGGGCTGCCTTGCTATCTTTGGGCCTCACAGAACTGTGAGTGAGTTCCCCTGCCCTCACCAGGCATGCCCCTGACCCAGCAGGCAAGGTCTCCCACCTGACCAATCCCCTATCAGTTACTTACCAGGCACCAGCCTAATTGTTTCACTTCACTGCCGGTCTGTGAAATTACTCAAGCAAGACAGGAACATCCTCCCATGGGAACACGGGGTTACCTGATCCTCTTGTTACTACAAGGCATGACCCCCACGGCCCCTGCCGGTCCACTCTGTTGCCGAATGCAAGCCCATGAGGCCCTGCATGGTACGTCATGTCTTCCTCCCCCAGGCATTGAGTCTGGTGACTAATAAGCTGCTGTCCATCTCATCTGTCCAGTGGGGGAAGGGGTGCATTTGGGCTTCTCCCACTATTTAGGACAGGAACCCCACCCTCACCAATAGGGTAAGTAGGAAGTCATCAGAACAGAGAAACATTTTGAGTCACCAGGCTTTTGGGAATATGCTGTATGTACAAACTCTTACTACCAGCAGCAAGCCCCAGTTGCTTTTCCTTTGCCTATGAAGCAGAGCTTACTCCTCTGAACAATGCGGTAAGTTTTAAAAGCTGACTGGTGTAACAAAGGAAGGAAGTGTCTTAGAGAAAACAACAGGGCTGGGTGAGGTGGCTAATGCCTGTAATCTCAGCATTTTGGGAGGCTGAGGTGGGAGGGCTAGGAGTTTGAGACCAGCCTGGGCAACACAGTAAGACCCCATATCTAAAAAAAATAAGAAAAGAACAGGGCTGGTGGCATTCCTGTAGTCCAGCTACTCAAGAGGCTGAGGAAGGAAAATTGCCCCAGTCCAGGCGGTCAAGGCTGCAATGAGCTTTGATTGTGCCACTGTACTCCAGCCTGAGTGACAGAGCAAGGCCCCATCTCAAAAAAAAAAAAAAAAACAAACAACACTCCTCTCTTATTTCACTTCTGCTTGCAATGGCGAAATGCTGCCTCCTGGGATATCCAAGATAACTGAGCTGTTGTGATTCTAGGCTGAACTGAAAAGTGAATGACTGAAATTCTACCTCTAGAAAAGACAGATTCGTTGTCTTATGAGTTCTGTACTCATAAAAGACATGATCACTAGGATCACTAAGCAGAATTTTCTGTTAGATCATTTTTCTAGAATCTCCACTACAGACTCATCTACTGACTTGAGGATTATGAGTTTTATGGAGCAAAATTTGCCTAGAACAGGTTGTCAGCCTCTGTGGACACAGTCTGTACCTTTGGGAATCCCACTGGAAGAAAGAACCAATGAAGCATCCCAAGGACTGGAGGATTCTCTTCCCCCAGGGCATTCAAGGAAGACACTGGGGGACAAATTGAACAAAGTTTATTTCATCAACAATGAAAATGCCCAGAAGGAAATGAAGCACAAAATCTGGTCACACAAAATTGAAAGCTATTGACCACTTGGCCGCGTCTCACACTAAAAGAGAAGGAAATAACACAAGTGCTGGAATACACATTATCTTACCCTCACAGTCATGACCAGGACAGGCCCGACACAAGCCAGCCCAGGCTGTGTGTGTGGCCTGAGTGTGCACATGTGGTTCTCTGGCCACTGAATCAGAACCAGCCGGGCCCTGAGGGTCAGAGTCTCTGGGGGCTGTGATGCTGCATTGGAAACACGTCCTTGGGGAGTTCTGAGGGTTTGCCGAGGTTTGAGAGCCACTGGTGTGGCTGACTCCAGTGAAACGGCCCTATTTTTACTGCTGTCAACTGTCATTTATATACATTCAGGCAAAGAATGGTCTTTAGAATGATGCCCAATGTAGCAAATAAAATGACCTCAGCATACAGTTTGCTTTTGCTGCAGTCTTTTCTCAGATGGGAAGAACTGATTATCCCTCTCCGCCACTGAATTTGTTCCCTTGAGGTTTCATAGCCTCCAGAAAGTTCAGTGTTCCCGTGTCCACTTCTCATTGCCTTGCCAAGTTTCTGTTGAGGAAGGCTGCCCATCTCTTGGGCCAGTCTGGGGCATTTTCATTCTGCAGGTGTACACAGCACACTTCACATGAGTGTGGAATGCCTACTTCAGGCCATGCCAAGGGGTATAACCAGGAACTTCTTACACTCACCTCCAGCTGAGTGAAATCACACTAAGAGGTGATCACTTAAAGGGCACATGGCTCAGCCCTTCCTAGACAGTCCGATGTCATCCCAACAACTGAAGTCTGGAGTAAGTCAGACTTCAAAGAACCACAGTTACAGACCATTTGCCTTGGCCCCAGAACCTTTCCCTTGAAATGTGCCTTATCATAACCATCTCACCATCCCCTGAGGGAGGCCTTAATCAATCATCATTCCAAGCCTGCTGTGCTGAAGATGTCACCCACTGACCCACTCAGTGTCCCCTCTATGAATGAGTGCACATGAACATTTTCTTTCATAACTAACCTGTAATTTGTTTTTTAGAGATGGGTTCTCATTTTGTCACCCAGAATAGAGGGCAGTGGCACAATCATGGCTCGCTGTAACCTTAAACCAGGGAAGATATGTGACTTAGAGCAAGAGACCATCACCTCTTTTTTACTGCTTTGGTGACAAGGAAATGGAAAGCTAAAAATATAGTCCAGATTTTAGCAATTATTTAGGACCTATGACCAATATTCTCCATTACAAACAGGGGTGGGCTGGGAGGGGGTACATATAAGAATGAGCACACTTCATCCACCACTCCCTCTGGAAAAGATTTCTGCAACCCTCTGGGGATACTCATGCCTACCAGAAACTGGAAATGTCCAAGTTTGAGACCGAACTACTGATACACCCAAAGCACTAACCAGTCCCTGCCATCTGCTAACAGAAATCTTCATGCCCACAGCTGTTCACAGCTCCTTCTGCCTTTCCCACGGACCCTGCAACAGAAGCCTCAGAGGCTCTCATGTGGGAGTCATGCAGGGGCCCCTGGGCCCAGGTCTTTGCTGCTCACAGATGTCCAAGCATTGTCTAAGTGACTAGGCGTGGCTGATGACTCATGGACTGGGGAAAGGAGAGTGGGAGGGGAGCCCACAGAACCCCTGTCCACCGCAGCACCATAGCCCACAGACTCTCCCCGGTCTCCAACATGGAGAAGGCAACGCGGGACACAGTGAGGATGGAACTGGGCATCATAGGTGAAGTAGGATCTGCAAGCTGCACACCGGCTGGTCTTCTGCCATGGCTCAAGTGAAAATGAAAACAGAAACTGCCCAGAGAGACTGGAGCAGAAAAAAGAACTGTTCCTCCTTTGTCCAGCAGATGGCACACGAAGCACTTTCTTCTCACCTGGGAGGAAAGGGGGATCAAAGGTGACTGCAGGTGACAGACGTTGGCGAATGCTTCTAAACTCACAGGGCCTTTCCCTTAAAGCTATGGAGAAGAATGAGCCTCTCGGTGTGAGCTGACACTTCTGATGAAGGGAGATGCCTCCATTCATGGCCACTCAGGGATTGGTTTGATGATAAAGCACCAAATAAATTTAAAAATTTCCAAATAAACACAGCTCAGCAGTGTGTAAATATACAGAAAGGCTATGCACATGGCTGAGAGAAGCACAGTTAAGCAGGTGCCACGTGTGCCTGGGCACTGCCCTAGAAACACTCATGACAGCATCTTCATATGAAATTCTAAAGCATGCGGACTTCAGTCATAAAGAGGCTCCCCAGCAAGCACTGACAATGGACCTGGACCACAGCTCCCAGAGACTTCTCAACAGCGGCAGCTGGAGGGAAGGTTAGTGGTCACTGTGCGGTGTCATTCCGGACTTCCAGACATCTTGATTTATAAAAGGCTTCCAAAGCCTAACGGGTCATTAGGTTGAGGAGCCATTATTTGACATTTAAGCTCAGAAACCAAAAACAGCTACACTGATGGCACCCCAACTCATGCAACCTGGCCACCCAGGCAGCTGCAGATCACAGACAGGTACATGGATAGCCAGGGGCAGAGACAGACTCACGGCCAAGTGAAGAATCTGCAGCAGCGGCACTGGGTGCACATGGCGCTGCACTCTGCAATGCCAGGCTAGCAGGCCAGCCCTACCCCCTAGGTGGAAGCTACTGCCTTGACCTTGGCAGATTTTTTTTAGCTGACCTTGGAATGTTCCACTCATCACATCAAAACCATCTGATATTGGGCTGGAAGAGACTGCTCCTTCACTTTCTCGAAAGGCAGCTAGAGTCACTAAAAGAATATCTTTCTCCTTTTAATAACAAAAGCCATCATAGGGAGTGAAGTTAGATCTATCTGGTTTGAAAGTCAAGGTGACCATGACTGAATGACAGCAGCAGTGGCAACAACCAACATTGCTCTTGTACCAGTCATTGAAACTGCACTACGATTTGAAAAGGTCTCCCATTCTTTGGCTCCCACACTTCATTTCCTCAAAGACAATTATCCCTGTGAAAACTCTTGTGAGGACAAAATTCTCACTCTGAAAAGAGCAAAAGTGCTTTCCTCATGTCCAGGCAGGTAATGGTTTGTTTAGTCTGCTCTCATTATTCAGTGTATTTGGGTGGCTTTTTAAATGCCTGCAGGAAAGATTTTCTAATCTTTATGCCCTTCTCCTGAACCTCTGTGTGTGTGTACGTGCACATGTGCACACGTGGTATGCTGTCAGTCTTCAGCAGCAGCAAGTCTCCACCTGGAGCACAGGTAGACACAGCCGCTGCACAGCACGAGCAAGACCAGCACTGTGTGACTGAGCGCCAGGACCCCAACTGCAAACAGGTACAGGGTTTTGTCACAGTAGTCCTGAGGCTGCTGGAAAGGGGGAAGAAAATCAGGCAGGTATACAGAAAAGACCCAGTAGTTTCCCAGGATGAACCAGAGGAAGAGGAAGAGGCTCAGCAGGAGGTGAATGTAGTATCTGCGCATTCTGCCTCCAGGGGTACTCGTCGTCGTCATCGTCATCGGTCACCACGGCCTTGGACAGCAGTCGCCTCATCCTGGTGGAGTCGTACAACAGGAGAGACACCTGGGGCATGGTGGGGAGCCAGGGTGGCAGGGCAGAGCAGCAAAACAGAGGGGAGGAGGGGGTATAGGAGGTAGCCATGGCAGGGTGTTGGGGGCGGGGAAAGAGAAAGAGGAGAAAGAGGAAGGTGTTACGAAAAGTGCACACACCAGTTAGAAATGCCACCAAGCAGCGACATTTAATGTGAAGAATGAGAATTAACACTGGCAAGAATGAAGGCATAAATTCATCGCCAGCATCCTCAGTGGCGCTTTCCTTTTAGATGTGTGAGTTGGTTTGGACAAGGCGTTAGCTGGGGCAACTTATCTCTGCATCAAGGTTCAGACTGACTCTCCCCTGTATTGTGCTAGCACATCTGCACCCACACATAATGTAAAAAGGACACCTGGTCCACATGCTAGAGGACCTTGAAATAGCTCCCTCTGCCTTGGGAGGAACCAGACTTTTCCCTGGTACTTCCAGGCCATGTAACAAGCCTGGCCGAATCCAGATACCATGGAACCGATTCCTCCCCACCCCAGCCGCGCCCAGCCTGCTCTCTCTTCTTGGACCACTCCCCATCTCAGGCATCTGGAATTCCCAAGTGGGGCTGTGCATTGAGAGAGCTGTTCCTCTTGTCTTCGTACATCTCTCAAGTCAGGAGCACAGACCCTTGTCCTTTAAGTGATACTCTTGGGGACAAAGACCATCTGGGCCCCTGGTAGATGGTCCCCGACTTCAACCTGACACTCCTTTGAAATTGTGCTTCCAGTTGTTTACACAAGACACCACAACCCACCCGACTCTAACTGTCACAGATGCCTTTGTCACAGGGGAGCACATTTGCCTCTGGAAATGCAGTGGCAGAAGAACACAGGTTGTCTTTGCTAAAAAATCTCTTAGCAGCTCCCCATCTTCTCTGCCTAGCGACTTGACCTGTGATTTTTTGAAAGCCTTGCCTGTGATTTGCTCTCTCTGGCTTCCCAGGCTGCCTACCTCTCCCAAGGCCAAGCTCATGGCACCCCTAACCCTGTAGAGCAGGGCATCAGAAAGAATCTTGGATGATGGAGGATGTGGCCGACTGGCAGAGATGGGGAGAGATTCTGAGCTTGAGTGAAATGGAAGGGCAAGTGGGAGCCAAGAGATGCAGCTAACCGGGCTCCAAACTGTGTAGAGAAGCAAGGATAGAATCAAGAGAGACAGAGAGATGGAAACAGCGAACCCCAAGCCATGTGTTTGGGTGGGTGGTGACTCCAGGTTTGGACTTGTTCCATGTTAAATTCCGGATGGAAATGCAGGGGATAGTGGCGCACAGTGGGGCAGCGTCAGAGCCTGGAGGTGAAGAGAGAGAGGTGAGGGCTCCTGGCCGAGATCTGGGAATTACCCCTGGGGAGGTGATAGGGACTCTGGGAATGGATATTGTACTAAAGCAGACCCCAGTGCTGGACAAGTGCTCAACATACATTGTCTCAATGAATTCTCCCAGCCTGCAGCGAGAGGTACTAAATAAACACCTGCACAGGACCGAAACTAGAGCCATGGGGCCAAAATGTCAACGGCGATTTTCTCTAGGTGGTGAAATTTCCAGATGATTTTGATTTCTTCTTTGTGCTTATCTGCATTCTCTGATTTTCCAAGGTGGAGAGTTATTACTTACGAAAGATAACAAAACCTAAGGACAGTGGTTAGTTCAATGCTTGGTATGTGTGATATTTAACGTCCATTCTAGCCTGGGGCTGCCAATTATCCCTGTTGCCCAGATGAGGAAACTAAGGCTCAGAGAAGTTAAGTCACTTCACTCAGATCCACAGTGAGTAAGAGAATGAGAAGGGCAGTGGTCCACACCTCTCTGACCACTGTCTACACCACAGTACACTGATGTTGAAATCGGAGGAAATTAAGTCGGAGGGTTCTCTCCTAAGACTTGCAGGCTGGCTGGGAGGCAGAATATCTCCGTAAGAAAAGGAAAGTAAGGTGTTAGGGGAGTTCAGAGAACCACTCACCATAGAGCTGACTCATCCAGGGTGGGCTTCCTGGAAGAGGGGACATATTTTGGAACCCTATGCACAAGGAGATGTGTGAGGGTCCTCCTCTGAAGAACAGTGGTGTGACAAAGGTAAGGTGTGGTGTGTTTAGGATAGGGAAGAAGCCAACTGACTGCAGTACTTGGCTGATGGTAACTGTGTGCTGGGGCAAGCCCAGGTTGAACACTAGCTTTGCCGTTTCCTCACTGTAAGCTGGAACTGAGAGTCCAGCTCAAGTTTCCGTCACTCAGATGCATTTCCCTTCCTTGCAGGGACCCGTTCCTTGGAGGAATTCCCCTGCTACCTGCCATGTGTCCACAGATCTGGCTGCCCTCCCAGGACTGGTTCCTGGCTACAGCGATGCCAAGAGAAAGGAACTAGCCCCAGGAGAGCCGTGGCAAGTAGGTCCCACTGCCCAGGCTTTCTGGAGCCACCTGACCCCCTTCTCTCCCACTATCCTTTGAAGTTGTAAGCTCTTCCAATCAATTACCTCTTAAGTTAGCCAGAGTTGATTTTTTTTGGTTGTTGTTCCTTATAGTCAAAGAATCCTTCCTGAAGCAAGTACCTGCCTCAAAGGGACATGGTGAGGACTGAATGAGTTCCAAACAAGGGCAGAGCTGTCAGCATGGCACCAGCAAAAATCACTTGCTCACCAGGGGTAGCAATCACCACTAAGAAGGGTGATGTGAGAAGATGAGGGGGAGCGCAGGGTAGGCAATGGTCACTGATTCCATATTTTGGAAACTCTCTTAACACAACCTTCAGTAACAAATGCATTTTATGTCAAGTCCTAGTAACAGGACAACTGCATGTCCTTGTTGGCTTAGAGAAGTCCTAGTTTACACTGTTGTTCTGGCAGGATGATTATTAGAGCCCCCTTTGTACTCTCCAAAGTGTCCCAGTTAGGGTGATAAATTATACGGTCAACTCTCCCAAACACACACATGCCCATATGTAAGTATCACACATTGCTTAACTTACTAAGCACTCTAACTTTCTATTTTATTTTTTTAAAAAGTGGGTCATGACCTAGTTAATTCATTTCCTAATCTTCTAATGGGTCATGACCCTCAGTTCTTTTTGGAAGCTCCAGGAAATGTCAGCTCACATCTCTTCAAGTTTCTCTTCATAGAATGCAATACGGTGAAGCTATCTGATGCATTTCACTAAGGATGCTGGGACAGCATAGGTACGTTCTGTGGTTGAATACAAACCATCATTATCACAGGTAAACTTCTGCCTCTGGGGGCTCTAACCCTGTTTGCCGCTGCTCTAATGGTTATGGACTCACTGTATATTATCTTGCTATCATGAGCACAAAAATTTAATTTGGCTTCCAACAGTTTTAAATTGCCAGGGAAAAAAATCAATGCTGCTTATTAAGGCCTTAGTTTGTTCATTAAAATAAATTACCTTTGGGTCCTGGGCTGGCCTTCAGAAAGGAAAAGTTTGCTGTTATTAGGAGGAACAGACCCCATGGACAGTAATATCTCTAAAGGAAAGCTCCACTCAGCAGCCTGATGATGAGATAGTCGAGTGAGAATGGGAGGGCAGAGGTAATTACTGCTGGAAATGTTGCCCTTGTTTTGAGCATCTCTATGGCACTCAAACCGTCAGAGCCTTTCCTTAACACTGTGGGGCCACAGGGAAAATGTGGCCCCGCTGAGCCAAGCCCCTTTGGGTTTCCTTGGAGCTGAACAGAGTCCCAGGTAGATCCCACGGGATGAGAACGATCATCCCGTGATGAGGATGATCGTGGGCATTTGTACATTTTAGGACACTGCCCACCAGGCTGCTGCCAGGAGATGGGGGCTTTTAACAGCAAGGTAACCTCAAACACAAAAGCCTTCAAAGGTCTGCCCCAAACCGACACAAGAACAGAAAACCAAATACCGCATGTTCTTACTCATAAGTGGGTGTTGAACATGAGAACACATGGACACAGGGAGGGGAACATCATACAACGGGGCCTGTCGGGGGGTGGGGGGGCTAGTGGAGGGATAGCAGGGGTGGGGAATAGAGGGAGGGATGGCATTAGGAGAAATACCTAATGTAGATGATGGGGTGATGGATGCAGCAAACCATCATGGTATGTGTATACGTATGTAACAAGCCTGCATGTTCGTTACATGTACCCCAGAACTTAAAGTATAATTTAAATAAATAAATAAATAACAAAGGTTTGCCCCAAATCAGATGTCTCCCACGACAGAGTTGAGCTTGTGGCTACTGATTGCATATGAGAACCACAATTTTTAAGACATTCCTTTGATGTCTTAAATCAACAGCATGACCAGCACCACTGGCCAGGATCTCTCGAAGGATCCCCCCACCAGAAGGCAGCTGGCAAAGAAACCCGACAGTGGGTCTGAATGAAAGTCCACATTTGGCACTCTTGACACAAAACATTTGGTTTTCTTGTGTTACTGCTTTGTTTTTATAAAACCATCTGGGAAAATGAATGATCGTGTTTGCTGGCTCTGATATAGGAAGCAGTGAGGTGGGTTTGGAAGGGTGGGAAGAGTTGTTGATATCCAGAGGCTGATCTAAGCTTCTCTTGGTAGATGCAACATTTCTGCGGGCCAGAGATCTTGAAAACAACTGCAGGCTATGCCACCCCTGATACTTCTTTAGTTGTTTTTCCTGTTTAAACAAATGTCAATACAGCCCAGGAGCAGATCAATTGCATAAGCTTGAGAGTCACAGAGAAGCACTCCCACCCCAGACACAAGAATACTTGAACAGTTGATTGATAACTGCAGCCAATTAATCCTATGTTAGTCAACTGAGAACTAGGAGGTATAGTTAAAAGCAGAAATCAGAACTGCTAAAGCAAGCATTTTTTTGTTGTTGTTACCCAGGCTGGAGTGCAATGGTGTGATCTCGGCTCACTGCAACCTCCGCCTCCTGGATTAAGGCAATTCTCCTGCCTCAGCCTCCTGAGTACCTGGGATTACAGGCACGCGCCACCATGCCCAGCTATTTTTTTTTTTTTTTGTA